TTGAAATAGCTATGCTGGGGTTGCCTGGGTGGCACGGTCAGTTGTACGTCTGACTCTTGATTTTTGGCTCAGGTCATGGTCTCATGGTTCATGGGTCGAGCCCCACAGCAGGCTCCAGCTCGTGCTGATGGCACAGAACCTGCTTGGGATTCTCTCTCTCTGCCCCCACCTCCACCCCCTTCCGTATGTGCCCACGCGTGCATGAGGGCGCGCGCTCTCTCTCTCTCTCCCCCTCTCAAATAAAACAAACTTAAAAAAAAATGAAACAGCTATCTTTCAAGTGGATGCCTCAGCAATGAAAAGCTTAAGTCAGGTACTGGTGTTATAACAAAAAACGAACCAATCGTCATGTGCTTATGCTACATTTATCTTGTTACTGGTTTTCATTTAACTTTGTTGTGGTCAGGGAACACATTGTATGCTTTCAATCCTTTTAAATGCTCTAAGAGTTGAATGGCCAGGCATATGCCTATTTTAGTAAAAGTGCTACATGCACTTGAAAAGAATGTATATTTTGTAGCTGTTGGTAAAGCGTTCCATCAAAGTCAATTAGATCAAAGTGGTTAAGTGTTATTCATATTTTCTAGGTCTTTATTGAATTTTTGTTGAGTTCTGTCAGTTGCTGAGAGGTGTTAAAATCTTCAACTGTGCTTGTGATTTGTCTTTTCTTCCTTTAAATGTCAATCTTTGCTTTGCCCATTCTTTTTTTTAAGTTTACTTATTTTGAGAGAGTGAACACATGTGAGCAGGGAAGGGGCAGAGAGAGAGAGAGCAAGGATTCCAAGCAGAACCCCTGCTGTCACGGGGCTTGAACCCACAAACCTCAAGATCATGACCTGAGCTCAAATCAAGAGTTCTAGGCTTAAGTGACTGAGCCACCCAGGTGCCCTGCTTTCTCCATTTTGAAGCGCCATTATTAGGCACATACATGTTTGTCTTCCTAAATCAACCCTTTATCATTATTACCCTTTATCTCTAGCAATACTGTCTTAAAGTCTACTTGATCTGATATTAACAGTTCTACCCCAACCTTATGTTTAGTGGTTATATGTAATATTTTTCCCATCCTCTTTCCATCCTTGTCGTTATCATAAAAACATGACTCTTACTGAGCATGTAGCTTGGTTTTATTATCCTTTAGACAGTATCTTTTATTAAAATGGTTGAACTTTGGGTCTACCATTTTACTTTTCGTTTTCTGTTTTCCCTTCAGGCTTTCTCTTCTTTCTTCCTTCTTGCCTTCTTTGGGTTAAAAATACTTTTGGCTTTCTGTTTTATCTTTTGGCATCTTAGATATACCTCTTCTCATTTTTTTTTTTTTTGGTGGTTCTAGATTAAAATATGTAAACTTAACTTTTCATATTATTCGTAGAGTTAGTATTGTACCACTTCATGTACTTTGAGCAGATTCCTTACCTCTCTGAACTTCTTCATTTTAAGTAATAATGAACTTGTCTCATGGGTTAACTATTAAATGAGCTAATGCATATAAAGCAAATAGCA